TAACACTGCGTGGGAGATTCTCAAGCTTTTCACAGTTCTTGAGGTCCAACTCACAAAGGGTTGGTAGACATCCAAGTGATGGAGGAAGCCTGGTGAGATTTGAGAAGTGAGAGAGATCAAGAGTCTTGAGCAATTTCATCCTGATTAGACTTGGAAGTCCCTTAAGACTTTGACATCCTTTGAGGTTGAGATGCTGAAGCTTTTTAAGATACTGAATAGATGAGACCCCAACCAAGTATGCACATCCTTCAAGATTCATACTCTCAAGTTTCTGGGCTTTCGATAGGTTTGGACGCTAGAGCATATTGCGGTGATTTGCGTCAAGGTGCTTCAAGCTCACAAGTAGCCGCAAGAAGGTAACATCTTATATACGAACAAAACACTAGTGTGATTGCAGTTGCAGTGAGTTCTTAAGAAGGGATTTTATTATTACCTACCCCCTCCATTCCAGAGCGGGCAACGTTTGCAGTATGGGAAGAAAAGGGACACAAAATAGTGTGCACAAAACTGATGTGAAGCAGACTTTGAGATGTATAGTTGTTTTGTATGAATGGAGTTGTTGTGATCCTGCTCTAACTCAGATGAGGCAAGGTAATTTGTAACCTCCGTCTGGATTGATTCTATAATATCCAACATTTTATCACCAAATTTTATTGTTTTCTTGCAATTGAGTGCAAGAAATAACTTGAGATTTAAGAGATTGTAGCCCTCTGTTGTATTTACCATCTGGAACGGAAAGCATCCCAATCGCAAGATCAAGGCTAGATGTCATCCCCAACAAGCCTCTAAAATTCGATGGCATAGCAGATTTCATCCAAGTGTGAGGTCAAGGTCAAGTTTAGTTCCACTATCACTATGCCCAAAATTTATGTCATTGCACGTATTTTACCTCCATTCTTGAGCCGTTTGAGATGTTGATTCTCGTGTTTTAAGCCGATTTCACGCTAGGTTGTATGTTTATGTCATATTTTAGGGCTTGGCGTTGGCGTTGAGGCGAAGAAACGAGTTTCGGGTCAAAAGGAGGACGTTTGAGTTGAAGGGTGCTGGAGGAGCTAAATACCCGGCCATGAGCAATAATACCAGGCTGGGTAAAATTCTGAGGAGGTCGGGGAAAAACACTTTTGGACTCGAGAAATAGAATGGGTCTCGGCTAGAGAGCAAAAATACCCGATCGGGTATTCTTGACCTCGATCGGGTATTAAGGCCTTCACCGCTGCGCTGTGTTTCGAAATCCCCGGCCGGGCACCTGAAATACCCGACCGGGGATTATGACTGGGGATCGCGAGCAGCTGAATTTTAAGGGAAAGAAGGCCAATTTTGAGGGGGTTCCGAGTTTTAGAGAACGAAAATGATACCTAGAGAGAGAAAGCGATGAACCAGAGTTCCCAAGCGCCTTAGATCGATCTTCATCATCAGTGGAGCCCGGATAACGCTTGGAGAAGTTTCAATTGACGACCAGAAGAAGAACCTCATTCTTCATAGCATGTTTTCTACTTCTGAGCTAGAGTTTGCTTCTCTCTCCATGGAGTAACTTCCACATTCACCGGGGTATGAAGAACCCTAGATTTGTATGTTAGGTCTGATTGTATGAACCCAAGTATGAATCCATTGATTTGATTATATTCAATTGAGGTCTGATTTGTTCAATGACATGATTCTTGATCAAATTCCTGTTGTTTCTGCTTTGACCTAGAAAGAGAATATATGCCTAGGTTGATAGAGCACCCTTGATTGAAGGTAGTGAATTGACGACTTTAGTCGAGGAGTCAATTCACTATTCTGTACCGGATTTACTTCGGTAGAGGAGGTTTGGTTCGTTAGGGCCTCAATCTGTTTACTCCGGTGGAGGTTAGTCGCCCGTTGGGGACTCAGATTGAGAGGGTCTGGAGACCTTTAGTCGAGACTGCAGACTATTTAAGAACCTCCCGCAGTATAACTATCTTTGAATTCGAACTTGGTAAATTACAAACTAGCTTAACTGCAGTCTATGGGGAACCATATCCGGGTGACCTCTCTCAACTTGAAAACACCCTTTAACTGCTTTGCTTGTTTGTTTACTTGGATCTTCACTACATTTTCACTACTAAATAATAAGAATTCGCGGAGTAGCCAGCACACTTAGGACCCGGGTTGACATTAAAACCCAAACCCGCTATGCTACGCACTAGTAGGTGGTTGCACTTGGCCATTTTCTAGTTTGACGGTAAAGCCGAGTCATCGGCATTGAACATGAACTCTGACATTGGGATCTCTTGCCATAGCCTCTCCAGGCTTGGTTGTATTTACATGATCAAACAACAAAACCCATAAGCCAAGTGAAATGATGCGTTTGATATTTGAACTAGTTCATTCCAATAACTTGAGATATTGACTGAGGTTCAAGAATTAATGGAAGAGATACCTGTGGAAATTAGCACTTACCGAGTGAAGGAACGTGTCTTCCTCTGGTTCCCATGTCCCTTACATTCGATGCATAGGAATACGAGCAATTAAATGGAAGCACTTGGTTGGTTGTGAGACTGGATTGTTGTTCATTTTGGAGGTAGAACAGGGACGAGAAGGTCAATGGTGGTACTAGATCGATTGTGAGGCTAGACTGCTGCTAATCTTGGAGGTCGAATGGGAGATAAGGCAATTGATCTTTCTCAACATTGGGTAGTCTTTTCCAACCTATGTAAAAAAAATCTTAGTGACATCGCGATGAAAGGAGATTATGTCGCCAGCTCTCTGGTTCTTCTCCTTCACAAACCTGCTCCAGTCTTTCGTCAAAATGTAGCACTAGCTGATGCTCCTGTAGGAGTAGCAAAACTACTAAAGCTTCCCATCTACATCGTCAAAGCTCAGGGTTGGTTCCTTTTGGTTGCAGGAATGTACCACAGGCGAGATTTATGAGTTGCCATTCTTTTTTGGAATCGCTAGGCACTTGCAGACGTCGCTGGGTGTCAACACTTTGTCGAACATATGGTCTTTGTCAAGAGAGTTTGATATATGGAAGTGCTCAGAATGAGAATCCAGAGGGATTAAGTTCTTGGGGTTACACAAAGCACGCCCTTTTGAGTGCTCCACCAAATCCTGTCAGCGGAACCAACAACTGCTAAATCAGCCCACAATTATGTATGTTTTGATGATTCAATAAAAAGTTTGATTGTGTCATTTACCTTTTGAAGAGGAGTTAGATTATCCAGAGGAATGTAGGTTTGGCCATCACCAAACATGGCGCCTACAAGCTTGCATACACAATTGAACAAGAAGCTGATGCCTTCTCCAAGCTCACTATAGACGTAAAACTTGCTTTCATCGAGCTTGAAGGAATTGGCGTGCTTGATGATCTTGCCCCAAGTTTTGGTCGAGATTGCACTTCCAACAACATGCTGCAATTTTTTTTTTTACAAAACAGAGCTATCTTGTCAGTTTGACTGACAATGAATGCAACAGGTCTGGCCAAAGTATGCTTACTGACACGCCAAAACACAACACCTAACAATGGCCAAGTGTAACCAATGAAAGGGACTGCAGTATAGTGGCACAAGTAATAAATATTGAATCCACGGGTCTCTAGAGTTACTATTACTCAGCTTCAGTTCATTATCTAGCAAACTAGATTAAGGATTGATTGATAAACTACTCTACTAATTACAAGTTGGGAACTCACTTAGGTATGATTCCCCCTACTCCTCAATTAGGTCAAAGTTGCAAGTACCTTTGGTTGATCTACTGTGGATTAAACTGCGGAAGATCCTAAATTAGCTTGGAATCTCTTAAGCTAACCAAGCCCTCTCAGACAGATTACCCGGCAGGCGACTAGCCTTCACTGGGATAGACTGCTAAGGCGATTCACACAGATCTCCACTACTGGAACGAATTCCAGTACAAAGCAGTGAATTGATTGACTCTCGCACAACCAATTCACCACTATCAATCAAGGAAGCTCTCTTAACCTAATCAGATTCTATCTATCATAGGTTAAAGCAGAAATCAAGAGAATTTGATCAAGATTCAATTGACTCAATAAATCATGCCTCAATCGATTATAATCAAACAATATAGCATCCAAAACTTCATACAAGAAAGATCCTAACACATGGAACTAGGGTTCCTCAAAACCTAAGTGAAGGGAAGTTACTCCATAGAGAAGAGAGAGACTGCAGAAATCTGATCTAGATCTTCAATCTCCATCTCCAAGCTTGATTCCCTAGCTCCAATGGCGAAGAAATCCTCCAAAATAGCTCCAAGAATGTTCCCAAGTCGCTCTCTCTCTCTAGGGTTCGTCCCTTGGGTGTTTGGGAACCAAAAACCCCGCTCTCCCCCTTTCCTTTTGCTGAAAATCGGGTTTTAACCAGCAATTCCCGACTCACACGGCCAGGCCACACGGCCAGGCCACACGGCCGTGTGGCTTTCCCAGCTGCCCGTGTGAAGGCTCGGTGATTTCCACACGGCCACATGGCCAGGTCACATGGCCGTGTGGGTTGTGCCCGTGTGGCTTGCTCAGCCTTTGTTTAATGCTTCGTTTCTCCCTCGTCCGGACTCTGAATCAGTCGCCGTTTGATCCCAGACGCTCGTAGTCTCGTCCTCTTTCTTTTCATGACAAGCTTGCATGATTCTTTGTCCATAAAGTGAGGTAGAAATCCATTCTTCTTCAGGTCATACCCGAGTTTCTTCTCCCGAATCGTCAATTGATCTCTGATTGACTTGAAACTTGCGCCTATGCTTCACTTTATGTGCTAGGACCTGAAATGTGACAAAGGAACACAACCTAGCGTAAAATAGGCCAAAGACACGATAATTCAAGCTCAAACAATCAAGAAACAAAGGGGAAAACATGTGCAAATACCGAGTCATCACTTACATTTCTAAAAGAATGTTGTATATGACATTGGCCTGAAGAAGCTGTTTCACGGTATTGATTATGTAGGAACCCTTCTACAACCCATTTAAGATGTAAGAACCCTTCTACAACCCATTTAAGATCTTTGGTTAATTTCAAATTATCCTCTATTCCATTACTCACATCCACGATGATCTTTAACGACGAATGGTGCACTTCTGGCTTCTTTAACCCGAATAACTTCCCTTGAAGCACTGTACTTCTGCACGACTCTAGCTCCTAGCCTGAAATTTCTACACTTTTTCCAGCTGGAGTTATCAGTGAAAGCCTCATTACTAAGCTTGCCCACTCCATTTCTCAGCCAAACGTTGAGCTCTCGAGTCACCAGAGGCCTCTTCACATCTCTTGCTCTAACCACATTGTTCCCAAAATCTCGATCGGACCAATCTTCAGAGACAAATTCGCCATTAAGAACAACAACCTCGATTTCCAAGGAAGCAAAAGGCCATAATGTGACAATTTCATTGATCGAAGCATCCAAGAGCTCAATCCTGACAGGGCTTCCACCTTTGGCTACAATCCAATTGTCGATGAATATGGTGGGTGCTAACGTGCTCGCAAATTGTAAAAAATATTCCGTAAGTCCGAGTAGTTTGACCCTCGGATGCTCTATCGTAAATATGAATGGAAACGATATCAATCACAATTTTTCCCAGATCTTATTGAAATTTCAAAGCCATAAAATCAAAGACGTATGAGAAAATTGAATTATAGTATTATGAAAGAATGCTTTTATTCCCGTGTAAAATTCTTTCATAAAAAAAGGAAAGACAAATCACATTCGAAAACTGAGGTTTGGTGCTACGATCAACTAATCTGAGATTATTAGAGATAACCTTCTCCATCTCACCACGAATCTATGAAAATAATGAGGATCGTGTTACTGGTTATCTCAATAATCCGAGTTGAAAAAAATAACCGGATCTGTAATGATTAATAATAATACCATTGGTCGAAGAATAGGGTCCATATGTGAACTAAAATCCAGCCATGGCCAGTCATATTCCCCAAAAGCAGCAGCAACATCACTGCTGAACTCTTCCAAGAATGTGTCGTCGGCCTCACTACCATAGTAGAGAGCACCCTTTGCTGCAACTGAGTTTTTTTTCTTCCAAAGAGGACTTCGATTTAGCAATGGAAGGGATAAACAAAGAATTAAAAAAAATTCAAACTAAGAAACTGTATATGTACATTCATGAATAAATAAATAAATAAATAAATACAAATATAAAATGTTTGTGGTCATTAGTTTATCAGTAAAAATATATTCAAAATTTATTAATGGAAAATAAAGTTGAAATTTAATAACAAAAAATAAATTTGAAATCAACAATGATAAATGAAATTTTACTTTGTGGAACGCCAAGTGCATTAACGCATTCAACGAAAAGCCCATGAAGATCTGGCGTCCAAAGCGACTTGGGCGCGACGTCAAGCCTGGCCAGAACAGAACCTGACGAACATGCCGACGACGGGATGTTGCTCTCTTCTTTACCTTTATCCTTACTTTTCTCCACCAGCTCAGGGATCTTGCCAATGAGCACCTCTCCCTCTGTGTAAGTAAATGAACAGAAAAGTTTAAATTAGCGTGGTGGCATGGTTGTACGAATAGCATTGTTGCACTTCAAGAAGGGAGCTAAAACATCGGGGAACTACTATTCAGTTCAAAAAGACCAATTGGTTTTTTTTATACCAAAAGATCACTCGTATAATCGAGAAAGCAGTTAGATACAAGAATGTCACTTGTCCGACAACAATCAATAAGTAAAATTGAATTCAACCAAAGAAGAGAATAAAGAAAGGGCTTTTCGTACCACCAAATGGGCAACACGGTTACACTAACGACAGACAAATCCCCTCCTTCCTATGCATAAGATAATTGGCCCGTCCATAACTTATCCAGCAACATCTAAATCTATTCGGACGAACAAAAGCTTGGCCTAGTGATAACCTAGAACCTGGAGGTCTCATGTTCGAATTCCTTAAGTAGTACATTAATTCCAAGGGTAATGTCTATTTTTTTTATCCAAGCCTTGTTCAGATTCTTTTATATTATCCAAACCTATCAAAATACTAAGAATTAGCCAAATGTTAACTTTCGGTAAGAAATTTTGTTAGTAATATTGACTTGACAACATGATACTGACTTGGAAGAGACAGATGAAGGTTAACATTGCAAAATTTTAGTATTTTAACTAAGAAAAGAGTTAAAAATTATTAACGATGATCATAAAAATGACTAATATTTTGATGCATTACAAAAGATTTGACTAATTAATAGCATTTTAATAGGTTTGAATAATATCAAATAATCTTAAAAAAGTTTAGATAAAAAATAGACATTACCCTAATTAGAAAAAGGAAACCTACATCACTCTTATAAAAAAACATCTAAATATTTTCGGTTATTCTTACTACAATCAACGTGTTAAAAGGATATTTAGATATAAGTAGTATCTGACCAGACTAGGACTGATGTTAGCTATTGGGATACAAGGCCACCAGTGATTAGTATTTGATCACGGAAGCACAACCAATACAATCATTAAATAATGTAAGCAGCGGTAATCAGGGGCATAGTCAGGATTTTGTAAAGTGTGAGTCCATTTAGAAAAAAATACTTACGATCTAATAGTTTTGTTAGATTTTTAAACCATTCATGATATAATTTTGTATTTATAAGAATATCACGTCATGTGTATCAAACAATTATTTATTATCTAGTTAGACATTTGCTTTTGAATGGTTTTCTTTGTCAATACCGTTTAGCAACAATAATTCGAGTTGTTTGGTTAGATTTAATAATTGATCTTATAGTACTTAGTATTTACTAATACTTGCTAACCAAAACCAACTTATATGTGCTTAAAAATTTCGCAAATCCAAATATCATTTGCTTAACAAATTTGGTCGCCAAGATTCATAACACATGGCCTCTCGATCAATCAACTCAATTAGAAGTGCCCTAAATTTCATTATTAATTAACTATTTTACTAATTTATTCATTTTCGCCCTTTAAAGCCACCCGTTACACTCTCCTTATCCTTGATTGAAATAAAATTATTTTTACAAACTAGCTATGATATGGTGGAAATTTTTTGTAGATATTACATAAGTACATCTTTAATTTTGGGAGGATCATTGATGAACCATAACCCACGATTCAAGGGTTTTGCTTGTAACTCACAAGCGAGAGAAAGACGTTGGTGTCTATAAACCTTTGATTTATTTTATTGATACAGAAATAATGCCAAAGGTACGTATTTATAGGCTTAGAAAAGCCTAATACTTAACCTAATCCTAACCGAAATCCTTCTCCTACTCGACTACCCCAAACTCAAAGGAAACCTACAACGAAAATGAAAAACAACCAAGCCCGAAAATCGAAAGCCCTACCCGAAAAATACTCTCATCAATCCTCCCCCCTTGAAATCAGCCTTGTCCCCAAGGTTGAACCTCGCCATCTTCTTCCTCGAACAAGCACATCACCTTAGCATTACGGCACTTGTGACCGATGGTGAATCGCTCGTCGCAGTTGAAGCAGAGACATTGAGCCCTTCGCAGCTGCTGCTCCTCCCAGCACAATCTCTTCCCTCATGGCGGCCCACGTGGTGGTCCTCCTCCTCCTTGGAAACTGGAGCTTGCAGTTCTCGGATTATAGCCACTGCCACCACTGCCGGTAGAGCCACATCCACCAGTGCCCGTCGGCCCTCCTCCTCCAGCAAACGACACCGCGTGACCAGCCGGATTTTGGCGCTGTATTTGGTCATTTTTATTCTTGCCAGGCTAATGGCATCATGCAAAGACTGCGGCCGAAACATCCTAATCTCGTCAGCAATCTCTGACTTCATCCCCCCAAGTACGTACCCACCTGTGCATGTTGCGTCTAGCCGACGCAGTGATTAGCCAGCTTCTCAAACTCCTTCTGACAGTCGCGCAAGGACCCTTTTTGACAAATCTGTGACAGGGCTCCTGCGAGAACAGACCCCAAAAAATCGGTTCTCCGACGTCTTTGTAGGTTCATTTCAACCATTGCCACCACTGATTCGCTTCTCCTTCCAGATGAAACTCAACTAATGCCACCTTTTAATCCTCCAAAACCTCCTGGTACTCGAAAAATTGCTCGACGCGAGGAAACCATGATCTAGGATCACCCCCCGCAAATTTCGGGAACTCGAGTCTCGCGAGCTTGGCGAAAAAACCACCCTCGCTGCCGCTGCAGCCACTCCCATCGCCGGCAGTTTGCCGAAGCTCCCCTGCACCTCCGAATCTTGTTTCCGAGCGCCGCTGCCATCGCCCAACTTTGGCTTGGACCCGCCCTTCTCTCCGGTCTTTGGCCTGGTCATGCTCTTTTCGCCAATCTTCATCCCGGTCGTACTCTTCTCTCCCTCCTTCTCATTCGAGCTCTGCTCGTCGCTACCAGATCCTATCGGCCCTTTGCCCTCCACTACGGAATCCACGCGTCTAGATTAGCCATCACCGTCTCCATCATGGCCTCGATCTTCGTTATGTGCGCCCCTTAGGCGATGACCTCCACCATCTGATTCGCGATATTCTCCATATTGTTGCGATCTCTGCCTGCATCGCCTCCAACGCCGAACATCGTTCAGCTGCCATGCCGGTACCAATTGCAAACAGATCCTGGACGGATTCGGAACCAGGCTCTGATACCAATTGATGAACTGTAACCCACGATTCAAAGGTTTTGCTTGTAACTCACAAGCGAGAGAAAGACGTTGGTGTCTATAAACCTTTGAATTATTTTATTGATACATAAATAATGCCAAAGGTACATATTTATAGGCTTAGAAAAGCCTACTACTTAACCTAATCATAACCGAAATCCTTCTCCTACTCGGCCACCCCAACCCCAAACTCAAAGGAAACCTACAACGAAAAGGAAAAACATCCAAGCCCAAAAATCCAAAGCCCAACCCGAAAATACTCTCATCAATCATATGCACCATTGCCATTCGTATATAGCTCGTTATAAAACATTGAATATGTCAATACACAACGTATAACTCATACATCAAATATTTCAAATGTCAACTATTCTTATTTAAATACGTATTATTTTTTATAACCAATTAACTATTATACCTAATATATCATTTTATTTCTCGAACCAGGGTGGGTCCCACTAACCTTCTCCCTCCACCCCTGGCTGTTTGTAATTAAGCATGAGCAAATCCAGTGGCTAGTGATTTATATTCAGTCACAGTATAGCTAGTTACTACAAGTAATTATAAATACTGCGATTATTGATTGACATATGATCCTGGGAACCAATTTAGTTGTAGTAAATATAGTATTAAAAGGTGTACAATTTTGTCTCTAAATAATTAAATTAGTCTGAAACGAGGCACAAAAGAGTGTGATTAAATTTCATTAGTTACCTTGCTCATTTGGGTCGTCCTCCCTCCGGGCTAAACGCCTATACTTCTGCTCATCAATGTAATAGAAAGAATAAAACTAATTGTCAAGAAAAGAGGAAGATAATAACAATAATTAGGCAGTGTTGTCATGAAATAAGCAAATACCATCAGAAACTTGATTCTAACGATATCTCGCGCACCATTAAATTATGAAATTTCTTCCCACTTTTTTATGGTTTGATTTACCTGGAGGTGATTCTTTGATAGAAACCTATTTCTAGGGTTCTATCGATTGGGTTGAGAATTTGGGAATTGATTGAGATTTAGGGATTTAGAATAGAATTGGGAATTAGAAGAAGAATTTAGGGGTTGAGGAAGAACAGCCCAAGCCTTTGAAGAGAGATAGAGAGGGACGAGATTGAGGGAGAAAGATAGACTAGGGTTGGGATAATTTCGTATTAACTTTCTTGATTATAACAGAATACCCAAGTACATATTTATAGCTAAAGACTAGGAAAACCTAATAGACTATCCTAATACGACTCAATGACTACTAACCATATCTAACAAAATCCTAATAATGATAATTAAGATAGAACCCAAAGATTAGGTTTCTATCATCCCCTCCCCCTTGAGACCAACCTTGCCCTCAAGGTTGACCGACTCGTCCACACTTCCACGTAGTCTGCGCAACTCGCGCCTTGGCTCCACCCGCTTTTGCGCTTCCTTTTCTTCCAATCATGTTCCAACTTTTCACTTGGGCCTCTTGTATCGATCTGCTCTATCGAGCCTCTAATCTTGTTCCGGCCAGGCTCCTTTAAAAGCCCACCTGTGTCTTCTTTCCAATTCATGCCCTGAATACTAGATCCAAAAATACAACCCATAAGTTGCCCATTTATCTTCCAGAGGTGCGGCCCAGGCTTGTATGTGAAGCCCATTGCACCTGCTTTGTTTGACCTGTTCTCAAGCAATCCTGACCTCGGCCCGCTTCGCTCATCTGTCCGGTCCCCATGGACCCGGTCCATCATCACTTCTAGACCGAGGCATGACCCAGTGTCCTCCTTCCTCCTTAGCCGTTCGTAACCCAAGTTTAGTCGGGCCACTAACATCGGCCCACCGATCTTCCACTCCTGCGCCAACTCATGGCCCACTTCCTCAGAGCATAGCAAACTCTCGGCCCAAGTGCTTCGGCCCAACGGGGAACACGACCTAGGGTTCACAAGAAGAGAGAACCAGCGGCCGCAATCCTCCTCCGCCTTCTTCTCCCTCGTAGCACCGACCGTCGCAGCCAACTTCTTCTGTTCCTCCATCTCCGGTACCCTCTTCTCCGGCGGCGATGGCTTCCCTAGGCGGTGGAGAGACGAACTCGAGCCGGCAACCATTGTCCTCGGGTCCGTTTTCCCAAACTCACCTCCCGACGACTCCGTCTTCCCTCTTCCCGTCGGCGTCGCCACGAACGACTTCCCGTTCGATGTCGCTGCAAAGAGAGTCGCAGAGCTCGCCCTTGGCTTCGTATTCTTGTTGACCAGCCTCTGCAACTCGTTCTCTGATGGCGGCTGCTGGGCTATGCGGGTTAGGGCGAGAGGCAGCGGGAGATTTGCGAGACCAAGGAACCCGCCGCCGCCCTCCTCCTTCGTCACCTTCTTTTTCCACGACGGCGATGCTTTCTTCACCTCGACCTCTTGCCATGGGCAAGCCTCCAGCTGATCAGAGGAGATTGGAGCAGCAGTAGCGAGCGACGTCAGCTCCACTCTCCCAACCGACGTCGCATGCCTGGAAGTCGTCTTCAATCTCTCGACCGAATCCACCGCCAGGTTCACATTTTCTGACGATTCCTTCTCCGTCTCCTCCTGCTCCGACGCCGATGGTTTTTGCGGCGCCTTCCTCCTCGACGAACAGGACAGTATCTCCTGACCCCTCGCTTCTTCTTTCTCCGGCGGCGAACAATCCATCCGACGGCAAGGCTGCCGGTCCGATCCCGACCTCATCCTCGACGCCACGAAGGGAGCAAATCGTGGGGACTGCTCGACTTCCGCCGTCGACTTCAACTTCTCCTCGACAACCGGTCCCAATTGATGCAACGCCGGCTTCTCATCTTCATCGGGCTTCAACTTCTTCCGGAACTTCCAATTGAACCTAGAACTCTTCACCAACAAATTCCCAATTAGAGGTTCAACCTCTTTGAGATTTACCTGCAATACCTCCTCCACCTTCAGATTGGATTCAATCTTCTCTGCGAATGACTCTTCTGCCACGACCGAGGTGATTGCAGTCCTTGAAGCAGCAGCGACGGTGGTTGGTGATGCCGGCGAGGCAAGGTGGTCGAGTGTGGAGGTCGATGTCGGCAGCAGCTGTTGTTCGCATGGAATTTCGACTGCCTGAACTTCTTCTCTGGCAATGGATGATGGAAGTACGACGACTGCTTCACTATGGTTCGATTGCTCGTCGATTATGGTGATGATGTTAGGAATGGCAGCTGATGGCAAATTAGGCTCCGAGACAATCTCCTCGCCTTCCTTCGCGGTCGTTGTCGTTGGAATGGCGATGGCAGTTGGTGGTGATGACGCCCTCGTCCTGGCTTCAGCAGGTCGTGCGATGGCTGCGGCAGGAGTCACAAGATCTCCTCCTTCGATCTCGCCATTGTCGGTCGCCTCAACCGGCTCGGACGACTGCAACGGTTCTGCTGCGTTGTTCACGCCAGCTGCCTCTGCAGTCTTCGCCGCTCTGACTTTCGCTTCGTAGTTCCGGCGGGCTAGAGTCTGCCGTAACAAATCTTGCAATTGATACCACTCCAGATCAAAGAGCTTTGAAGCGCTCATTCTGGATCTAGATTGTGACAGAATCCTCCCTGGTTGAGAGTTGTGACGAACTCGCTCTCGAAACCGAGCTCTGATACCAGATGATAGAAACCTATTTCTAGGGTTCTATCGATTGGGTTGAGAATTTGGGAATTGATTGAGATTTAGGGATTTAGAATAGAATTGGGAATTAGAAGAAGAATTTAGGGGTTGAGGAAGAACAGCCCAAGCCTTTGAAGAGAGATAGAGAGGGACGAGATTGAGGGAGAAAGATAGACTAGGGTTGAGATAATTTCGTATTAACTTTCTTGATTGATTATAACTGAATACCCAAGTACATATTTATAGCTAAAGACTAGGAAAACCTAATAGACTATCCTAATACGACTCAATGACTACTAACCATATCTAACAAAATCCTAATAATGATAATTAAGATAGAACCCAAAGATTAGGTTTCTATCATTCTTGATATCGAGTAGGGTAAGTTCCGGAACATTCATATGTTGTAAAATGGGCTCAGGTGTGTCTCCTGCAATAGAGATATGGAATTAATCATGTGTTTAGTAAGCAAACTGTTCATTTAAAATAAATTAAGGTTATGTTTTGCTTCCCGGAAAAAAAGCAGGCGATTAATGTAACGAAATTTGATACTTTGTAGACCGCCAAGTGCATTAAAAGCTTCGACGAAAGCCCCATGGAGATCAGGGGTCCAGCGAAGCCAGCGCCTGACGTCATGCCTGGCCAGAGCAGAAACCGGCGAACATGTCGACGTCGGTCTGCTGCTCTCTTCTTTACTTCTATCTAGGGATGGCAAACCTAACCGGAAATTAGGGTACCCGCCCGTAACCGAGCTGGTCAAATCATGCAAAACCCGCATTGACTGGGTGTCGGGTCGGGACGGGGAAAGCTGAATAGTGTAAGCCATAGTTACGGAGCAGGGACAGATTCATCACTATCCGCCCCGATCACCGATGCGTACCCTCCCCGAGCTCCACAATCTCCTTTCTCAATCTCAAATCCCTCAACATCTCGAACGAATCCAGATCCCACCTCCACTCTCGCGACTTCCTTCCTCAATCTCAAAGTACCTTCATCTTCCTCCGCTCTCTCTTTTAATTCAACTCCCCAACTCGCCCATCTTTTCAATTCCACCAGATTTGACGACGCCCATCACCATTGCTGCCTTCCGATATGCTTTTTCCTCTCCAACAACAGTCGCGAGTCTCTCGCAATCTTACATTGTTGTCGCCAGCCCACAACGGCAAGTCTCTCAGCTTCTTCCTCTCCCCGCAACCAACCAATCAGCGACGACGCTCCAACCAGTTCCTCATGTATCGTCGTAAAAATTGATCAGCTGCTGCGGAGTAGATCCACCCAGATCCATCTATCCCTCTTTTCTCTTTCCTTCATCTTGGTGGGGTGTCCAGCTCTACAGGGTTTCGGGTAAAACCCATCACCCGGGGTCGGACGGGCGCCAATAGGATCTTCTTCCCCGAGTGGCAAGGGTGCAGGTTGTTTATCCTACCTGGGGATCTCTAACAGGAGGGTTCCGAATGCTGGGAAATCGGCCCCGATCTGCCCAGTTGCCAACCCTACCTCTATCCCTGGTTTTCTCCATCGATGCTGCTAGGGTCTTGTCAATAAGCATCTCTCCTTCTGCTATAAACAAAACAAAAAAACTTCAACAATTCATGATCCATCGAGTAGTGGTTGGAAGAGTCCTTCCCAACCCTAGCTGCCAGAGCACCCTCTACTCTCTTCCACCTCCGCGGCCGAGATCTACCAACGTCGCTTGACCACGACACAGCTCCGTCTCTCACCAGCAGCCGTCACCGCGATCAATGCACCGAAAAAGAATCTCGGCCGACCCCGGAAGGTAAGATGAAGACGCATCCAACCATCCCACCCCGAGCTAATCGTTAGAAGCTTCCCACTGACCAAACCAAGGCAAACGAACAAACAATCGGACGGTCAGGGACGGAGCAGAGAGTTAAAATACTTATGCTTTCAAGCTCTCCTAATCGCGTCCGACGCCAACGGCAACATCTCCGAATCGTCAAGATCTGCAAAACGAAACAAGGAGGGAGACGAGGGAGGGGAGAGGAGAAAACAAGTCGGATCCATGAAAGATCTGGCCTCCTTCGATTCTTAGACAGCGAGAACATCTCCAGATCTGGGAAGACCAAATCAAAGGCCAAAAGACTCAACTCACAGAGGAGGAGGAAATGACATCCATTAGGCAAAACAGAAAAACCACAAAGGGAAAACAGAGCAAACGCAAGATAGAAAGACGGAAAAGCGCAGAGCAAGCATAGAAAAAGAAAGGGGAAGAGCCGTCGCCGGAAAAACGCTGGCAGCAACCCCACTTAGTTGAAGATTCTGAACCCCGATTGATTTTGAATGAAGAAATTGCTAACATCCAGACTGATTTTGAAGGAGGGAAAACATATGCTTATGAACATGATGAAGTGATCAACTTAGAATTACCGTTTGGTTTACTGCTTCCGAAGATCCAACGGAGAGAGAAGTGTTTATATTTCTTCTTCGTTGTCGTTTTCTTCTCAAGACTTGAAACTTGATGATCAAGTCAAGGTAATATTTAAATCTAAATTATCAGTAATATATCCACATCCCAATCACACATCTATGTCGATGATGTCGCGACGAAAGTTTACTTGTAATTTCTTATACAATGTAGTCAAGTTTTTTGTCGGCTTTTGTTATAATTTAACGGGTTAATACCTTATTTTGGCCTGAACTATGACCATATAATCAACTTTGGCATGTGGTTTCAGAAATTAACATTCTGGCCTCAACTATACAACATATAGACTCAATTGGCCTGACACATGGTTTGACTGTCAACTATTGGACGGTCAAAACTGTTGACCGTTAGTCAATACGCTATGTCATTGCCTCGTCAGCATAAAAATCATTAAAAATATTCAAATTCAAATTATTTTCCTAATTTATATTATTTATCATTATCAAATTAACCAAAAAATTAAAAATATAAAAATATAAAATAAATTTCATATTTTATTTTTTGGGTAATTTGAAAATGATAAATTTTACCAATTAACCAAAAATTATAAAATTATTTTAAATTTTATTTTTTGGTTAATTGTAAAATAATAAATAATAGAAATTAGAAAAATAATTTGAATTTAATTTTTTTAATAATTTTTAGGCTGACGAGGCAATGGCATGCCGTGTTGACTAACGGTCAACAGTGTTGACCGTCCAAATTAACGGTCAAACCATGTGTCGGGCCAATTGAGTCTATGTGCTGCATAGTTGAGGCCAGGATGTTAATTTCTAAAACCACGGACCAAAGTTGATTATATGATCATAGTTCGGGCCAAAATAAGGTATAAACCCTAATTTAACATAATGCGAGTTCAATAACGGGTTTTCCGAGGTAATTAGTCTATTACTATATGTTCTTTTCTCATTTGTTTGTATATAGAAGTCATGGTGGGGGAATTTGGCATATGAAATTAATGATTGAAGGAATACATATTATTTTGTAAATAACCCAAAATTTAAGGGCATTAGTCCAAGAAGGTAAATGTGATGCCTTTTCAATTTTCTCTTTTCTTTATTTTTCAATTCTCTTTTTCGTGTTTATTATTCTACTCCTATCACCAAATATGGGTTACTCAAGCATATCCTTTTGGCAACTCTACCAAATTCTAGGGTATTTTTCCAAGATGCTACATATAAGAATCTTTAGTGATCATTTTCTTTTTTTATTGTTTTTGTTTTATCGGACTGGAATCAAAAATTTTGTTTGTATTTGATTTTACATCGTTAATCATTTCTCTCTCTTGCTCGACCTCAAATAGAAAGACCATAGAAAAATCTCCCAATCCCCATTAAAGAGGACGAAAGTGGCATCACAACTGATGGAACTAAATGATATAGTCTTCATCTTTTTTAGCTTTGTTCTTTGGGTTATGATGATAGAGCCGCTCCGCATGCACTAAATTCTTATGAATCCAAATATGAAATATATGTTGGCATCCCCAACAAGAACTCATTGGCTTTGTTATAAACCAGTTGGTCCCAATAACTCGAGTTGTTAGGAGAAGGTTATTATGAATCTTATACCATACTCTTACACGCCCCCTCAAAAGAAAGTTAACTCACGAGCTTGAAGTTTGCACAAGCCCACCATACCTTGTGCTTTAATTAACTGTTAATATTGGGGGTCGTGGAGATTCAAACACACGACCACTTGGCCAAACCAGCTCTGATACCATGTCATAAACCAGTTGATCCCAATAACTCGAGTTGCTAGGAGAAGGTTATTATGGATCTTATACCATACTCTTATTGGCCTCCGAACATATTAAGTTATAGTACACGAACATATATCCATTAATTAAGAACACTCTCTATCCCATTCTCATCTCTATAAATGTTAGTGAATGGTAATAAGATCCATTATTGAACCTCTCCTAATAACTCGAGTTATTGGGATCAACTGGTTTTTGACATGGTATCAGAGCCTTAAGTGACCGAGAGGTCTTGTGTTGAAATCCCGGTGACCCCCAATTCTGAAGCACATGTATTCTCGTGTTCAGCACATGTGCAAACGAAAGCCCTTATGAGGTGACTGGCTTTCGTTTGAGGGGGTGTGTTAGTGAATGGTAATAAGATCCATTATTGAACCTCTCCCAACAACTCGAGTTATTGGAAGCGACTGGTTCATGACATACTATATCCGTCTTCACAATTCTGTTATTCATAGCACAAACCAAGCTATATTTGAAAAAGAAAAGTGATAGGGAAAAGTCGATAACTTGCTTGCTAATTTAAGGTTTACAGTGAAAAAAGCATAGGAGTGGTTTATCTGCCGCAAGCCCTAGTACTACTAGATGGCTATGATGTGCCTTGTCGCGGAACGGAAATGTCCTATAGACATGTATTATGTAGCCTATTATGGTGTTTCGATAATATTATTAGTCAAAAATTAATTTTTTGTTAGTAGTTTTGTTAGTATTAGTGGTTGAGAAAAGATATATGGTTGTCAACATCCAATTTTAAAAAATTTAAATTTTTTTGCTAATAAATTATATTTACTTAAACCCAAGTAGACTCATTGATTATGAGTAGGGTATGGGTGGCGTATATATGAGTTTGGAAGTTGTAGATGGGTTTGGGTAGTGTATGGATATTTACTTTCATAATCTAAATGTGTATGAGTTGGGCATGGATACCCATTTATTCGATGGTGTTTTAATTACACATACAAAATTAGACCTATTTGTAGAAGTTCAAAAGTTTAGGTACCAAAATGTAATACACAAAAGTTTTTGGTACTACAATGTAATGTTTCATCAATATTTTGAGGACTTATATGCCAAAAAAATAAATTCAGGTTATAAATCTAAAGATCTATAAAATTTCGGTACCGAACTGCAATTTGCATAGTCGAGGCTTAATTCCTTTTATAGTGATGTATTTAAGATGGTGATTATTTACTTTTCTGTGGAAAAATGAAAACTATTTATTTGATAAGTGTAGATACCTATCCAAACATTCCATGTATAATTGTTGAAAGTTCTAGCCGGGGTAAAAAAGAAAAACTCTGGAGACAAGCAAAAGGAATAACAAACTGGAACTCGCTTAAAATTTCATGCCTTCAAATTCCATTATGGAAAATGACGGCTTTCTAATAAGTAATAATCTTATATATTTATTTTTAATTGGACTTGACATTGAGTTGAAAAAGTTAGAGGTTCATGTTTCAATTATTAATTCTCTAGACTGTTGGTGAGTCGTGTATGTACTCGTTCATACTTGTGAGTAGAATACATAAGAATAGCATACTAATTAGGGTTATGGAAGGCGAGTGAAAAATGAAACGAAGAGGAAGTAGATGATGGAAAGGTTTTGACCAATTCTTTTAGTTGAACGTCAATACAACAGTTGATCCTTTTAGCCGTAGCAATTTATTGACACTTGCTTATGTACTTGTCACATATTTTGTTACATGTAGTTAGTAGAAGTTTGTTTAGTACCCCGTAAATGTACTAAATGAGTTTATAAATTAGTACTTGCAATATTTTAGAGTCGTTTCTCTTTTGTCATCTATTGAATATTTCACGTAATGAGCAAATATAAAATGGTCGAATCTTCTCCTACAGTTGAGTGATACGTCTTGTATGGTACAAACTAAATTTATACTTTTATATTATGGTGGATTGGATTCATGGATTCAAGCGAAATCTAAACATTGGACCAATATATAAATTAAAAAAACTATAGGTACAAAAATGTCATAAAATTTAGATACCAAAACATAATTGTTCAATGATTTTACATTAAAATTAAATTCAAAATGTAAAATGTACATTGTAGTGACTAAGTTATAATTTTATTAAATTTGGGGTATCAAAATGTAAGTTTTTATGCAACAGTAACCAAACTTTAACTTTACTAGTTTTGTGCCCGCCCGATGGGCAGCGAGTGTTATCTGTTTGTACTTTTCCTTCTATTATTTGTTATTTTTTCAATGGTATCATATTCCTAATTTTCATAATTATTTATTATTGTTACCTATTATCACTGACTTATCTGATATGAGGGCCGCTACATTTACTCTACGTTTTAATGATGATCAACAATAAAGTCAAACAA